TTACACATTTAGCGAACCACTTGCACATAACCCTTGCAGGCAACCACATTTTGTTAAAGAGAGAAAAAAAAGACCCAAAAAAGAAAAATATGTGCGATTTGTCTTGTATCTGAGAATCTGAACACAAAAAAAACAAACAAAAAAAAAAACAGCTCTATTAAGCACACAATTACTTTAAATACACAGACACATTTAAACCCCCCAAAAAACAAGCACAAAAGACAAAGCAGACGTGACTCCAAGAAGAGCACGAAAACACCACAGCCACAGCTACTGAGTGGATATCTCCAGTTACATTCAAAGATGTGAAAACTTCATCACAAGTCAGTCATTTTTACAGTCGTATTCTGCAGCAAAATATAAAGCACCTTGAAAAATATCAATGGACAAAACCTCCATCTGCCTGTTGTGCTAATAACACCTTACGTTTCAAGGAGAGTTATTAGTTGCTAGTTTCACATTCACTGGCCAACTTTCTGCTTCGTTACTTCTCACCGTATGCGCGTGACCTCTCTCACTCAGAGTGAGTATGACCTCTGAGGCTCTTTCCCTACCATCTAACCGTGGAGGGACTCTGAAAATATCTAATTGTATTCTTTTATTCTCTGTGCCTGGCGAGAAGAGATGGAGGCAGGCGAGGGATAAGAGGGGAGAGAACGACGGAGAGATTCAGCTGAGAGTTTAGAGGCGACACAGGAGAAAAGGGAGGAGGCATGGAGGGGAAAAGAGGAAAACGGAATTGCTGTCTTTTTGAAATCACAATCGAGAGACTATTAGATCCTGCCACCTTCTTTCCTATTAGTCTTGATACATGCGATAACAGACAAAATAAATGTCATTTTTACACCGGAAGATGTCAGAAGTTCTTTTATGACTCTTAACCAACAATTAGAGTAGGTTTTTGATATTGAACGAAAAGGAAATAACAAAAAGGCAAATGTAAATGTGCCAAAAGGTGGAAAATTAAGGTGTTACTCAGAATAAAACAACTAGCAAGTTCTTGGTCTCATGCTGTAGTTGTGAAACAAAATATTGGAGAAAAGCCAGCGAAACTGCAAGGAACCCCACCTCAGTCTCAATCAAAATTACCTACTTCACAAACACAGCTACTGGGGCACGGCCAGCACAAATAGCTACACTACAAACTTACACTGCAATACAATAAATCTGACCAATCAAAAAGCTATGCAAAAAATCAAAAAAAGTAAGATTTTATGTATGATTCCTTGTTTGATACTGATTAAAATGTGAGCTATCGTGTGTTTTGTCTACCAATAATGAGAACACAAGTAAAACTAACTTGAACATTAACTCCCCCCCCCCACCACTTTTTTTTTCTTTTTTTTTTATCTTTGTCCAGAATAAACTTTCTACAACAATTTAGCATATTACAACCAGACAGTTTCAGTTAGGCTTTCTTGTGGTCACTACATAATGTTTTGAACTCCTAATTACACATTAAGTAGCAGACATGACGAAGTTTTTAATGCTATTTTGGTGCACGTGAAAGTCTCCGTTTTGAGATTTCTTGCTGTGCATTTCAGATGAATAAGTGGGCAACCAGAGATCCACCTTGATTGGCTATTCATTTTTAATCTATCTAAACCTGGCACTTCCACCATTTTCAGTCAATAAACTTATCAGCCAGCATGCTGATGTACTTTTTTGAGTTGCAAATAAATTAATTATGATAAGTGCTGGAGTCAAAAGGTTTGATGCACATATGGGGTTACCTATAATTCAACTGGTTTTTGTTTAATTTACTTAATATATCAGAGTTCAATTCCTCTTCTTCTCTTTTTTGTAATAGTTTTTTTTTTTTACAACAAAACTAGTCGGGTCTGATCAAAGATCAGAAGGACAGATACAGATTTTTTTTTTTTCTTTTCATTAAATGCATCAAAACTAAGAGTACTGAAAGAACTAAGGATGCTGGTTTTTAGTCTATAAAGCATCAACCAAAAGCATGAACTTCTTTTGAGTTTTTTTTAAAGGACATGGATAAATCATTTCATTCATCAAATGAATGATCATGTAATTCCTTCCATTTCTGTCAGATTCTATATTACAAAATATGTGCAAGAATCTGAAACATATTGTGGGTTTTTTTCTTTCCTTTTATTGTTTTCATGTCTTATAGTTTTTTAACAAACACTAAATACACCAGAATTGGTCAAAGTCTGTTTTCGCAAGCCAGACTTTGGATACTGTTTTGGACATCTAAAATAATAACCCAAAACATACTTTTTCTTCAGATAGTAAAACTATCTAAGTGCATATGGTCCATATACAAAGAGCATTGTTACAATACAAAAAAAAAACACTGAAATTATTCATTAAACTACATTTTTTTAAATCATCCTAGCAAGTCATATGATTTGATATTTTCTGCCATCATATGCACCATGTGTTTTTGGCTCAGTGTGCCTGTTTGTGTGCTTGAATGCTCTCCAAAGCAGCCGTGCTCTAAGTGAGACCGTTCAGCCTCAGCCGAAGAAAAAAAAAAAGAAAACAGACACAGCCAAGTTCCAGGTCCACACCAATTTTCTACAGTAATGCAGCTGGAAAGGGACTCGATATTTATTAACTGACTCATCAATACGATAAGTTTGCTAACTCTCTCCCTCTGTGCTTTAAAAAAGTTACCTCTCTGGCTTCTCAACCCCTGCAGGGCTCTGAGGCAAACAAACTCCACTCAGAGTAAAGTAGTGCGGACCGACTGTTACAGAGCTGCAGCCTCCGTGAAAACCTGTTTCCTTTCCTCAGGCGAATTTCAATCTGAGAAACAGATGAGGCTCAGGAAACTATCTATTACTCAGGTTTTACTGGGGTTCAAAGAGAGCGGAGCATATAGATCAGAGCAATATCAGAATATTCTCTGCGCCTGTTCCTGGTAACGGGGCACATCTGAGATTAACAGTGGATTTATTTCAATCTCAATTTTTTCCCCCCTTCACAGAAAGCAGGAAAACTTGTCAGCACATCTGGAAGGTATCAAGTTAACTAAGCAGCCTGTCAACTCAAAACTTTTTCTTTTTTTTTTTTTCCTCGGGAAAAAATAGCACAGCCCAGTGAATGTGTGTCTATCAATGGTAGGCATCAAGATCTAACTCAAGATTGCGTTTACCTTCATTAAAGACAGTGCTCCATTAACAAACAGTCAGGGTAAGTCTGGCTTTGGGCACCCAGACCACACCAGTCATGCTCCATGGTTTATCAAGCTGGGAATCTACACACCCGGCTAGGACTGGCCCCCCGACTCCAACCGGGAGCCTTCGCAGTCGCCCCTCCGTTTTTACACCCTGGCCGCTAATGGTTTCAAGCAATAAGTCATGTTTTCACAAACTTCAAACTCAATGTAAATAGTTGCTCAACAAATTCGCCGTGTGCTATTAATGACTTTGCTCACTAGGAGGTTTTTTTTTTTTTTTTTTTTCGGTCGACAAATAAAACACTAAGTGCTGGTGGCAGTTGAGTGAAAGGTCTCGGTAAACTCTGCCAGGCGGCGATCAGACTTAATAAGCCGGGGACAAGGCTGTACAGTGTGCTATATGAGGGACTTTTGGAAGGAAATGCTGTCTGGACAAACAGTTTGCAAGAGCTTGGACTAGAAGGAGCAACGAGGTTTCACGTCTGAGAAACTTTTTGAAAGGTGCTTGATCTTATTCAACAACCTTTACAGTACTATTTCCTTATTATCAGCACACAGATTTTTTTTTCTTTCTTAATGTTTTAGTGAAAGGTTGATTTTTTTTCTGTTACTGTGCATCATCTTTAGATCAACTTTTTAAGAGTTTGTTTTAGAGCAACACATCAGGACCTTTGGGCTTTAAGACAGCGGTCTAGACCCTTCCTCTAATACATAAAGCATACAGTATGACACTATTACACTAAAACTTTGCAGATTTTTCAAAAAGAATTTTCATAAGTTCTAAAAATCTAAGCTAAAACAAAAAAGTGCATTTTAACCTACAGTCTTTTTAATTATCCTTCTTTTTCAAAATACTATTTAAGGTTCAAAATAACACCTCCAATAATTTTGTTTAATTTTCAACAGCACCAGGGTTGTTCAAAGTAATTACAAGGCACACTATTCTGCATAGTTTCAAACAAACAAACAAACAAAAAATAGAAACTGTATGTAATAATCTGAAAAACAATTATTCTAATCTGATTAGGCTTTTTCTTCTTAAAATATCTTTTACCACAACTCTCAGAAACTATTTTAGGATTATGACCAAAATGTAGAAACAAATCCTTAAAAGTTTGAACACGAACAATTTAATACTACTTAACATTTGGGCTTTAGTTTGCTTATATGCGCTTATTTTTGGTATTTTGTAAGCAAAATTCAATGCAACCTATATCACTGAATTAAATAAGGGGACTAAAGATTTAAATATTGACGGATGAATTAAAATAGACGTTCTGGTTGTACAGGCACATGTTTTGTAGAATGTGAAGACTTTTACTAAATATTTCAAATCTACATGTAGAGTGCAGCTCTGACACGCTTGACCCGTGTGTCTCCACGACGGTCGAAAGTTTTAAGCATGATCATCAGACTGCTTTAGGAAGCGAGAAAATACGTGATTTCCATCTGTGTGTTAATCTGAGACTGCTGCTCGAAACAGGCGGGTAGAAACACCGGGAATAAAAGTAGAAAACATAAAAAGAACAGAATTTGTTTCTCCAGAACTACAGCTGACAACACTCCAGTAGAAATTTGCGTAGATCTGGGGACCACAGGCAGCAGGGAAATAGGCCTTACTTTACGGGTTATATCTCGAAAGACGCACGGCACAACTACATGAAACCCAGCAATCTCGTTGGTGTACTTTCCTGTCCTCAGCAGCAGTCGGTCTGTACCTACAGAATCTGGCTGAGCAGAATAAAGAGCGATGGTTCATTCAGAGCGGAGAGAGAGAGAGAGAGAAGGAGGGAAACATCTCCCACTCTCAGCGGGGGAAGCCTGCTCGATGCGCGGCTACAGCACTTACTTGGTGTTGGTCCGGTTCCAGAAGACGGCGTAGCGGTCGGCCACCACTTTGGATCCGGGCTCCTGGCTTAGAACACACATCAGCAGCACCAGGCAGACGAAGAGGACCATTTCCACTTGCAGCATCACTACAGCAAAACTTCGTTAGTCTATTCCGTCTCAGAGTCGATCGCTCGGTAGGATCAGATATGTGGAGCGGGTTGGAGGGTGCAGGTAGGAGAAACGGGGCGCCTGAACCGGGACAGGTGACCTGATCTCAGTCACATGTGGACCGGTGTTTCTGCTTCAGAGCTATCAACGTAATGCGAACAGAAAGAGAAACGAGCGAAAGAAAAGAGGCAAATGTGATCATTCAACGGGGAGGACGGATGAGGTGACACTTGTTCAGGTGAAGTTACAAAAAATTAAGGCGTCAACAGTCCCGATGAAAACATGTGCCTTTTTTGTTCCTGCCGGTTTATCAGGACGGAGGAATCCAGATAGAATGTGGTCCCCCCCTCTCTGATGCACAAACAAGTGAGACCAGCGCAGAAAGCCACCAATGCGCAGCAGAACACTCGGTGTCTCCCGTGGCGTTGTACAGTGTCAAACCCCCCCTTGCGCTTGCTGGGTGTAGCCTGTGTCAGGGCCAAAGTGACAACTGCTCAGCCCTTCACTCCAAACGCAAAAAGCGCAGATTAGTCCGAGACGTGATGGAGAGAGGGGGGCTCAATGTGGTCCAATGACGCTGTGAGGGCGCAAGTCAGATGTCCATGTTATTATCCCGGCAACTTTCTGAAGCCATGCAGTCAGCCAGTCAGTGCGTGCCGGAGGAAAATGATGACTGACAGCGTTAGATCGCCGTGTAAAACAAACCCAAAACAAACAAAAAATGAAACACTGTCATCCTCTTCGCTGTGATCCGCCGGAGGTGTCACGGCCGAGGCGGGGAGGAGTCCGTCTCTGTGGCCGTGTTGTGTTTTCTCTCTCTCTCTCTCTCTCTCTGTCTCTCTCTCTCTCTCTCTCTTCCTCTCGCTCTCTCTCCCTCTCCCTTCTGGAGACGCTTGTTTTTATCTCCGCATTCCAAAGTGTCCTCCTCATATATAAGCCATCGCGCAACGTAGGGGAGTGGAAAAATCGCAGCGCTCTCCCATGTGCGTGCTCTGTTGTCGTCCCTCCCGTTCTTTTTGTTTTGTTGTTATTTGATTTTTTTTTTTTTTTTTTTTTTTTTTTTTTTTTTTTTTTTGTGTGTGTTTTTAGTGGACACGAAGGGACTGGGTAAGAGGAAGGACAGATGTAGCAGCTCCACGCAAGCTCCAGACGGGGACTGAGAGAGTGGGTTTGGTTACGGCGGAGCGGGGCATAGTCCCATTGGTTTGCGACGATCTAAATGGGCGTGAAACCAGCAGACCTAAGCCCCGCCCACTTCTTAAAACCGAGGTAATTCAATTATAGAAAGGTGGAGCTGGAAGGGGGCAGAGGAGCGAGGTGCCCAGGACAGGGAGCACTTTTTACATTCTCCACTGACAGATCCCGCAGATAAGCTGCGCTCGGTGCTATTTAATTACATGCAAAAGGACGCGGTGTAAAAAAAAAGAAGAAAAAAAAGAGAAAAGAAATAAAAGAAAGTAGAGAAAGAAAAAGAGCAAATATATTTTACTATTTAATAAAAACGGCACATTTGAAGAAATACAAATAAATTACCAAATATTACACATAAAATAGTAACCTATAGATATTTGTATTGCATTTATTTATCATTTTGTTGTACTTTATTTTTCACTGAATCATATAAGATTGTCCAGTTTTCTGTTTTATTCTATTATCATTATTTCCATCTCAGATTTTTCTATATATTACATGTGTATTGAGACAAAACAAGCATAAAAACATAATTCCCCACACTGATTTCTCAAGTATGCTCTCTGTTAAAAAAAAGAAAAGAAAGTCAAGGTATTTATAATTATTTAATATACATTATTTCAAGTATAATTTTATCTATAATGTTTTTATGTTTCTTTTTTCATTTATGTTTACAGTTTTTGTTCCAGTGGTGTTTACACATTTAAAGTTTAATAAGAAAAAAAAAATATTTTATTTTTTTTTTAAGAAAAAAAATGTTTAAGTTTTTTTTTTCTTCCTCTTCTTCCTTTTATGTTGTGGGCAAAATTAAATAAATATGACCCTTAATTTTTAAGCTCAACAGAGTATGTAAGCCTGGTTGTAACTCTCTGCAAAAAAATGAAAAAGAAATGCCACATTGTTTTCCACAAGAGTTCAAGAAGGTGCATCAAGTCCATCTGTGCATAAAAAAAAAGAAGAAGGTGAGTCGTTGTTTACGAAAGCTCCATGCACATGTATCAGAACAGCTCCCTGTTCTGATTCAAGGAGAATGACGAGTCCCAGTACCCTGAAAGCCCCGTAGCTCTGAATCACTGATTCAGCCTAAGAAAAAAAGCGAGTTGTAGTTGCCCGTGTTTGAAATACTCGCAGAAAGCTTCACAGCAGGGGCAGAGACAACCCAAAGTTTGATGAGGCCCAAAGCAGAATTTGATGTTGGGGCCCGTTTTAGTACAAAATTTATAGTTTGCATATTGTACGTTTAACGCTGTGGCAGTTTTTGATCTTGATGAAATGGCTCACTTCCCTGGGCAGCAGGGAAAGTTTGTCAACTGTGCTGACATATATAAAGTTAGTAAAAGCTAAGAGTGGTTATTAGACTTGTGGTTGAAGAAGTTCAATGTAGAAGTAAAAATTTAAATTGAGTCCAGATTTGACCAGTTTAGCATCAGAAAAGTTAATTTTGCTTGTAAGCTGTGCTTGTATGACACAGTTGTCAGGCTAAATATTTACATACCACCTTTTGTAATACATTTTTAAAGGTTTTGTGATTGTGATAAATGTTGTAGAAGTATTTTAGCTGTATATTAAACCAAGAAGTATTCATATATTTTTATAATACCAATCAGTTTAATCATTTATTAAAAATATGTAATAAAGTTGTGTATAAAACTAACAACATTTTCAAAGTGGGTGCTCAGACATGTCAGGAGAGAATTTGGAAATAGGCTTAATCTTGGTGAACTTGAAAATAGTTTGAAATTATAATTTCAAACTATTTTCAGTGTGAAAATGTAAGTATTGCACTGGTTCTAATTTTAATGAGAGTTCCAAAGAAAAGAAATATAAACTCCCATATCCATGTAAACAAACTGAAGTCAGTCAGTCACTAAAAGTAGGCCACATATGAACATTTTCCATCAGAAATGTCAACATTTATAAAAGTGCGTAGTCTAACTGAGAAAGAAACCATGATTAAATTCAGTTAATTTTTGTAGTGCTAAATTATAACCAATCTTCTTCATCTTGGGGTATTTCACAAACAAGTCAGATTCATATGCAGTTATGTAAAAAAACAAAGAAAAAAACAAGCTTAGTTCAGTTTCAGTTCTTTCCATTCCACTCAATTTGTGTAGATTGAATATTACATCAATTTATGTCAGTCACATTGCTTCGCTTTATTTTTACACCAGGTAATGACAGAAGATATATAAAACTCACAAGAGAGTCTTGTAAATTGTCTTTTGCATCATTGCATTTCTCCTTGTAATATCTAGGAAATTAGAGGCTGCTGCGTCTAAATGTCTGCTGCGTCTTCTGTGCGACAGGTGCTGTTGGCCATCAAGGGAGCAGAAAAGGAGAAAAAATGGAGGAGGAAAGACAAGAGAAGGAGGAGGAGGAGGAGGCTAAGAGGGCAGCTAATATTTTAAGATAATCCTCTTGACCTGTTCTCGTACTCTTGTGTAAACTCAGCGCTGTTCGCTTGCAGCTATTGCCGCACACACTGGCAGGAGGGGCGCTCTTCTGCAACCAGACATAAATACAATTATCGCGCCATGCAAACTCCCAGAAGTGTCCCTTTTTTTTATTCCTCTGTTTTTGCAGAACATATATTTAAGAGAAAAATACATCAGCTACCAGACGAGAAGGGATGGGAAGGTCAGCGGACATGGTTGTTTTTACACCCACTTTACAGCCGTGTCTGCATTCCTCTCCTGGTGAGTCTCATCTCTGTCTCACATGCAATAAAAATAAGTTGATAACAGGCACGTTTAGCTCACTACGCCCTCAGAATACACCCCCAGCTGCTTTCATTTTCTCCTAATCATCCTCATCCTCTTCTTCACCTACTGTCAAAGAGAGCGACGGTAATAACATCGTTTCTCTTTTCCCACTTATTCCAGCAGAGTGATGCAAGGATCTTTTTAATGTTTTAAAAAATATATATTTTTCTGTTTCACTATTGAGAAGAAGGGCAGAATGACAATACATTTATTATTACAGTTCCCAAATAAATGTATTTTTCATCACTTTTTATCTTCCGTTATTGTGTGATTTTTTTGTATTAGTTTCCTCAATAAATAGTCCAAGAAACACTTGATGGGCACAATCACTTCTTATTCCCTGTAGAAGCCATTTACCTGGGAGGTTTTATATTCCAATTCGATTTGAGTCAAGATTTTTGGTAATGTCTTTTTGATAAAGGATAACAGGCTTCATCAAGAGCTTTACTTTGATATATAGTAGTCATTCTGGCCAAAAATGACAAGGATTTGGCTTTGAGCCTGAGGTTTTCCCCTTCTCAGATTCAATGATCAGCATGCACACACAGCCAGAGTCGGAAGGTGGATGGGCTGGAGAAAATGAGCGTCTGGCTGGGTGGTGGGATGATTTATAACTTTTATTAACGTTACCGTTCTTTTGTGATCAGGGCAATTAGCACAGAAATCATAACAATGACTCATTAATAGAGGTGAAAACGCAGCTCTGTTTTCCTGGTGTCAGAATGGCGGGTCGGGTACACCAACAAGCAATTACAGACATGAAAGGGACCCTTTGAACAGGTCCTTTTGAAAATATCTGCCAATTAACATCTATAACCTGCATGAAAAAAGAAAGTCAAATTGTCAAAGAATAAATTAAAATGATCCTTTCACCTTTTTGAATAGAGATTTCCAGCATCTTCCAATAGATGTGAATTTCAGTAATCACGTATGACAAAGTAAACTCTAAATCAATTAATGGATATAATTAAATGGACTGTGATAGCTTGTTTTTCATATTATAACCACAGCAAGTTCAATTTAAAGGCATGTTCGAGACCTTCGGAATAGAAAGTGCCGTCACATGAAACATAGATGCGGTCATTATGTGTAGGTGCAACATGTGTTCATCGGTTGAGTTTAGGAGCCTTCTAATGTCTGAAAAGACTAATCAAACGGGTCCTATACTGGACTAAAATTAAGTGAGAAAGCAGCATTCAGACAGTCTGAAAAGTCTTGGTAAAACCTATTCATAAGTACATGAAAAGATTTGACTCTATATATAAAGAAACCAGGGTTATCAGTCAGGGATCTTGCACCTTGCACTATTGCAGTATGTCATTAAGTCTCTGGCAAAATTATTTATATCCCTTTAACTTTTTCACAATTTGTCACAACCACATACTCCATCTTATGTTATTTGGATTTTGCCAATATAGTCATGGTTACTCTGGAGAAATGTTAGTTTCCCACTGCAGGTGGGAAAATCAGTCGACGGGACAACTATAAATTTTGCACTGGATAAATGCATCTATTATGGCGGAGTGGCAAGAAGAAGGTCATTGTTGAAATAAAGTTACAACACAGCCACTAGGGGTCTAGAGGGCACAGCAAGCATGTGAAACATGGCACTCTGGTCAGTTGCAACCAACGTTGAGCGAAATGTAGCATCACCTTGAGCACACCATCTTAGCAACACCATCCATGTTGCTACATGGTGGTAGCAACATCATGTTATGGCAACGCCTTTCTTCAGCAGGCACATAGAAGCTGGCTGGAGTTGATGAATAAAGCAACGTAGGGCAATTCTGGAAGACAACTTGCTGCAAAAGACTGGAGTAGAGATTCACTGTGCAGCAACTGTAAAGATACAGCCAGGACTAAAATGAATGGTTCAGATAAAAGCATTCAGTTAGAATGTCTCATATGTTGAAATTTAATGCTTAAATATACTATTAATCCAGTTTAACTGAGCTGTGCATATTTCTGAAAGAATAATTAGTTGAAATTGTCACTGTTGAATTGAACCCCAAATAACTTAAGCCTCTAATTGCAGTGAAAGGTGCTTTTTCCATGTATCGATTTGGAGGAGTTAAAGACATGCCACACACCTCTGGTTTTAATTTGTAAAACAACAAAAATTGAAAACTCATGTATTATTTTCCTTTCACTGTCAGAGTTCCTTTGTTTTTATCCAACACATAAAATCCTGATAAAACACACTAAAGTTTGCAGTGTGGGTCATAAAAATCGAGCCACTGCAGGACATGATATTCATCAGAGACACAAAGCTGATTTCTGGTTATTCAAGCCAAGAATGCTACAGGTGTCAGCATAAAGATCTACTCCGTCAGTTTTGCTCACACAGCTCCTTAAATGTGATGCTGTATCACACTGGCCCAGTGTCACAGGGTTAGTGTCGACTACACTTACAGAAAATCCTCTGTGCATTTTGGTCTGTAACCCCATTCATGACATTCATGCCTCTGCGTCAGAGGCAGATTAGATAGGCGGAGAAAATAGAATTTTATATTTCAGGATCACATATAAAAATATTGTCCTGTCTATTTGAGAAGATGGTAATCACAAGCACAAGCACGATAGCATCAGTAAAGAGCCAGAAATAAAAACGTGGTATAAAATACATTTTAAAAACTGACAAATTTGACAAATTATTTCATACCACACGTTACACATGAACTCACAAATTTATCAGTCTAGATCAAAAACCACTGTTGCATTTAAAACTCTGAGCTACCTACATTAATAAACCTGACACAAACCTCTCTCGTTACATCTGAACTCATGGAGAATATTGCCCACCCCCACTCTCTCTATATTCCTCACTACCTCCCTCCTTAGGATGCATATTAGATTAAATATTTTATTGTCACACTCAATGCACTTAGTGTTGGCAAACTTAATCACAAGGAGACAGCATGTCATAGAAGAGACACCTTGGGTTGACTAAGTCATGACGAGCCAGCACAAATCGATGAGAAGGACTAATCGGATGTATCTGCTGGGACAAGCTCTGCCCTGAATCCAAATGATGGACACCAGATGGGGACTGATGTTGGCATTAGTACACAATCAGTGCAGTAGATGGAGAAATGTAAGAACAAGGGCCTCCTATTCATTGAGGCATCAGCTTTTAAGCAGGTGCAGCCAAGGTCTCTCCTTTCAGAGAGAAAAAGCAGGAGCATATTAAAGAGGATGGATCGTCTTTGTTAGTGCAGGTGCAAAAATATGGAGACAGAGTCGAGATAAAGAAATAGAGAAAAAGGACACAAATGAGCACTTATTTGAAATTTGCAAGGACATAAAAAAATTAGCTGTGTTGAGACGCATGTAATACCTTAGGTTGTGATTTTGGGATATTTTTATCACTTGGATACCTTTTATATCAACAGTTTCGATCAGTAGTGTAATGGTGTGGGGGATCTTTTGGTCCTTGCACACTCCCTGACCAGAGAGGTATTTCTGACCCTCCCTTTAGATGACCACCATGTCACAAGGCTCAAACCATTTTTAAACTGGTCAAATTTGATCACTGCAACAAGTTGACTGTATTCCTGTGGAATCCACATTCAGCAGATTCACAGATCCAACAGAACACCCTTGGGTGTGTTTGAAAAGGAGGTATGCAACATTGATGTGCAGCCAACTAAATTGGAACAAAAAACACACAAAATATTTCAGAAGCCTTGTGAAATCTTTGTCATGAAGAAATAAGGTCATGAAAGCAAAAACTGGTCCAACCCAGCAACAGTAAAGTGTATCTCTAGTGAGTTTGAGCCCCTACCTTCACTCTGTCATAAAGCTGACTTTTCTCTCTGCAATAAAAGTTAAGGTCAGCTAAAGTCAAATGTACCCAGTTTATTGACTTTGTAGTACAGGAGATCACTTAGTATAAATTTACCATAAAAGTGATTGATTCTCCAACCTTTCCCAATAGAGGCAACAAGCTTAAGGTGGGGAAAACATGACATATCCCTCTTCAGTAACGCTGTCCAAGATTTTCTCAGGCCAGAACAGAAATACAGTCCCTTCAGAAAATTTCGGGTCTCGCCCAGGGTCTCCTCCCTGCCAGACATACAAGGGAAACCTCCAGAGGGAGGGGACTGGGAGGCACCCTGATCAGAAGCCTTGAATTACCTCAGCAGACTCTTGTCAAAGTTCCTCCCAGATGACGGGTCTCCTGACTCTATGCTGGAGGAAGCTCATTTTGTGCCTGGGTACAAGAGTCCTTATGTTTTCAGTACATAAACGAATGAAGCCTTGTTTCTTATTCTGTCTTAGTGTTCCGACAGAGCCTTTTATTTTCTCAGATGAATGAAGCTGTTTGCGCAGTTTGCGTCTTCATGCCATCAGCAGTTGAAGAATTAAAAACTCTTTATTTCAATCCGGATGTTAATATCCGTCACTGGTGTAAAACGTTTGACTTACAGCCAGTTTTTTTTTTTTTTTTTTTAATTTAACTTTTCAGCAGTCCTCTCCTTCTTTCTTTCCACATTAAGGCGAACAAATGTTCCCTCACACACACACAGAGAGAGGGAAACCACAACCAGCTTTCTGCCTGTGCAGTATAAATGTCCTGCAACAAAGTTGTTTCTCTCTTTATGTACTTTGATCCATATTCTATCAAACCAAGCTCCAACGACACCAGCTCCAGCTGCTTCACTAGGAAATGCTCCCAGGCTATTAGCCACAACAATATTGAGCTACTTTTTTTGTTGTTAATTTACACCAAAGTTTTCCCATTTAGAGTATTTCTACCACCGGGCAAACAGAGGGTTAATGATAAAGAATACACAGCACGGGTGCATTTTATCCCCTAAATTTGATTCAGAGGAGTCTTAACTTCTCCTCATTACCAGGACCTGTAGAGTAGCAAATGACAAATCACAGTATGTGATAATAAAGGTGACACTGTGAAAATCCCCTGGCTGGGATCCATCTCATCATTATGAGAGCATTATGAATGGATGTAATAAAAGTGAATTAAGACAGGACATGGCTGATATAGATATTATGAGCACATTGTCCTTTGCCTAATGTGAATGGTTCTTCAGCCAGCTCTTGCAATATGGGTCCCAATTTGAAGAGGCTATCCTTGACTCAGAGTAATACTTACATACAATCATAACCAAAAAGCAGGGAGGAAAGAGGGTGGGGAGCCATTGAGTCCTCTTTTGTACTCTCTGCTATTTCATTACAGCAATGAATGTAAAAAAAAAAAAAAAAGAAAGAAAGAAATAGTCTTTGATA